AGGCAGCATTTTGCCCTGCTGCTGCAAGCACTCAAGTGTCAGCCGTGAGGTTCTATATGAGAGCTAAACTGCTTGATGGACCCTGAGGGTATATAGTGACCCAGGCTTCTGGCTATTTACACCTGCAAGCAACATTTCTAGCACTAAGTGTCTTCAGGGCTCACGACATTCAATCTGCAGATGTTTCTGGAAGCTTATTCCCACAGTCTCTTCTAGCTTGGGGCATGGATTGGTTTTGCACTCTACATCCCTTCAGGGCTTGTGAGCAGAGAAATGCCAGTTTTTCTGGAGGGGTAGGAATTGTTGCATCTACTGGATATGAAAATCTGCCTTCATATGTTTTCATTTTAATCCTTCCTTGTAAGAGAAACCTTTCAGCTTTTAGATCAAATACATTCACATATCTTTTCCCAGGTTAGTTATGACTTAGACATATATATAAAAAAAGCACACTTTAGGATGCTGAAGAGGGAAACTTCTTGGACTGGTATTTCTAAAGATTTTTCCCCACTTTTTTTTTTCTGGTGTTGCATATCCTGCCTATGGCAGCTCTAAAGAGAGCAGCTGTCTCTTATTGTAACAGCATAACACTTTGCTTCAGTGGTGGTTTTACAGAAGGGTCTGTAATACAAATCTTGAAGTCTGCTGATATCTGTCCAGGCAACTTGGTTACCAAGTCCCTGTTTTTCAGCAAAATTCTGCTTTAACATGCTCAATCAACAAATTCAGCACAAATACCTCTTGAATTACCATAGCACTTAACCTGCTTATCCTGTGATTAGAAATTAAACAAAAAAAAACCTCAAAGCTGTACACCAAAACCTAACATAAAAGAAACCAAATAAGACAGCTTCTTTCTTGGTAATTTATTCCTGTGAGGGTTTGGCTAGTAAAGGAAATCTTGAGGAGGTGGGGGTATGGAGGAATGAAACCTGCTTGTATCAAGTTTCTGAGTAACAATCTTGTGGGAAAGCAAGAACAGAGAAAGACGAATCAGTGATTGTACTGACTGCAGTGTCTTGGAGCTGAAATGTTTTCGCAGAGTCCTTCTGCTGACCCTGCCTTTCTCCCTACTTTTCAGATCAGCTGCTCTGAGCAGGTGCCAATATCAGCAACAGTGAAAGTTCATCTGGCAAATATTCAAGTACTGTTCTAGTTGGTTTGCACAGGCATTAGTGTACAAATCTTCCCATTGAAGAACCACAGAGAATGGTAGAGACATCTTAGGACTCAGTCTCAGCTGAGCCCATGTGTGTGGGTGCACATGTATATGAATTTTAATGCTATCTTTTGATTATTATCAATAGGAATACTATTGAAAATGTGGCAGTGGAATTATTTTGAATAAGAGTGAAGTCCAAAGCCTAAATCTGTGTTGATGAAGGACTGAAAGGAACCTCCTGAAGACCAAGCCTCATTCAAGAAGCCATACCACATGCATGTGATAAATGGATCAAGCTTTCTGTTAAAGCAAGTGTTTTATCTGCCATAATACAGTGATTGTTCCAAAAGCCACTACTTCCAAGGGGCAAGTTTTTGCTCTCCCATTTCACTTAGAAGTATTTTACTTTCATTCTGAATTTGTTCATGGTGAATTTGTTCTTTCCTTAGTATTGTTCCGTAGCTTAAATAGGTCTTTACCTGGAGTTTACCATCCTCCCCATTGTTTTTAAAGAATACAGTGCAATTCTGCTCTGGTGAATAGACACTTGGAGCAAGAAAATAGTCCAGAGACTGTAGCAAGGTAGAGGCAAATTCACCCCAGAATCTGTCACAAAGTATTAGATTTTCTTTTCCCTGTACTTTCAAAGGCACTGCCTGCTCCTTTGTATAGATATGCAACAGAATTTACTCCATCCTAAGCCATACTGAAAATGCTCATTAACAGGTGACCTTGATCTTGTCTTTTATGAAAAGTTTTTCCCCTATAATGGTATCAAAGTTCCTCCCATTCTCCTTCAGATTTTCAGAGTTTCTCTGTGTAATTGTGCTGTCATCCTCTATATCGTCACTGGTTCCAAAGTTGGTGGTTCTATGAAATTCAGTTGGTATGGTCCTGCTTTTTATGCTAACATAATACAATGAAAAGAGCTACCAAGGCTGTTCAATCCCAAGCAAGGTTCTTGAGGAGCATGAATAGTTGGAGTCTCCTGGTCCGATTCCTTCATAAATGTTGCTATTCTTTGCCTACACCATAGTTCTTAGGATGTTTGCTCTGGTATAGATGATGGTTTCTCATATTTCTCAACATCACATGTGTTACCCAAACCCAAACTGACAAGAACTACTACACATTCTATGTTAAGAAAAATCAGTTTGATAACACATAGACAGAAGGTTAATTTTATAAAAGCTTCCTTTGGTATCCTATTCTCTCCCTCTCTCCTTCTTTCCATCCTCTGTCCTTAAATCTGGTCTAAAACCTACTGTAAAACTGCTGTTAGACTAAAGGACCAGCACTTTTTCATCACATCCCGTCCCTTCCTGTTCTTAAGGACAGGTGGCCCATTTGCTTTCCTTCAGTCACAAGAGTTGTGTTGCTATGCCATAAAACCAGGAAAAGCCCTTACTGCTCACCCAGCAGTTCCATGTGCCAGTTCTTGCAGAATTTGGCAGCAGAGATTAGCTAGCTCCTAACAGTATAAGTTTATTCATTTTTACATTTGGCTTTTACCTTGTGGTAATTGTAACCCAGCACCTTCATTCCCAGGAAACCACTTGCAGTTTTCCTTGTTTTTTTACATTTATCTTTAGTTTAGCTCAAGATCTTTGTCATCTAAGGAACCAGCTCGCTCTTCTCATCTCACTTTTGCTCAGCAGACTAACAGTTTTGCTCACGCAGGGAAGAGCTAAACCCCTGTTCTACATTTAACCTGCAACCTGAACAATGCTTTGACTTGAATTCAAACATCCTCTTCATTCAAGTTGTTGAACTGCTCTTCAGCTTATATGAATCAGCTGAATCTTTAGTTTATCAGAATTTGGTACTTCGAATTTGAGAAAAGCAGCAACCACAACCCCAAACTCTCAGACAAACAAACAAAACCCTTAGCTGTAAACATGTTTTTTAGAGTTTGGAGACTGTGATGTTTCAGTCCACAGCAGTGGCAGAGAGGTTGCATTTATATGACTAAATGAGAGAAGGAGAGACAGGCTGCTCTGCCTTAGAATTGTGATACACAGCCTTGTTCCCTGACTGGTCAAAAGAAGAATTTGCTAAAGGAACCCCCAGCTCTACTTCATTCAAAACAGGCAAAGCATTTATTTTTATTGCAGGCTCTGCAAGAACTACCTCACGTGCTCTGCTCTGAACTTTCCTGGAGGAATGTGAAAGACACTTCGAAGTTGTGTGATGCCAAAGAAGTTGTGTTTTACAGAAGGTACATGTCAAATAAACAAGGACAGAGAAAACTAACATCCGAGACTGTGAGACTTCAATGACAGAAGAAAATATTTGGTCTGCAAAGACTAAATAATAGAAGGGAGGGCCCACTAGTTTAAGAAGGACTGTTGTGCTTTGCAAGTGTAGCTGCTAGGATCAGATCTCATTCCTGGATCATGCTGGTTTAGTTAGGAACTACAGGGATGATTAGACGTGCATGTAAGGAAGGGTGTTAGTGCTTTAGGAGGTTTACCACTACCTGAAAGTCACATAGCAGCTTGCAGTGTTTGTGCTCACAGTGTCTGTACAGAGTTGGACAGATTAGCACAAGAGATCATGAAAGCTCAACTGTGAAATGTTTCTGTGAAGAAGCGTTGGTCTGGCTCTAACTATAACATTCTCCATTGAGTCAAGGATCACCAGGGTTTCAATTAGACACTAATCAGCATTCTTATTTGTGACACCCTTAAACATGGAATGTCAAAACAGTTCTAATATGACAGTAAGGAAATTTCTGTGACCTTTTCTCTTTTAATGGAAAAATTCTGTGTGTGAAATACACTCGGTTCAGGAAGGACTTTGCCACCCAGCCTAGGAAATTCTAAACACGATTACTATTCCCAGTTTTAGAAGGCGGAAAGAGGGTTACTCTGGGGTAAAATGCTGAAAGACTCTTCCTATTCAAGCCCTTATTACATATTATCTTTCCAGGTCTCCTCAGTAGAGTACAGTTGAACTGAGGAAGTTTTCCGCCTGAAGCCAAAACAAACAGAAAACCACTGACAGAAACAGGGTGAGAGCCTTCAAACAGAAGGGTACTGGCTACTGGTTTCAGAGGTGAAGAAAATACAGCTGAAAGTAAGAGAAAATGCAGGAAGATCACTCAGTACTGCTTGAAGTAAAAGAATCTTTAAGGTTACTTACAGTTTTTGTGAACCGAGCATTAAGGTGACCTTGAAGGCTACTTTAGATGATATTTTGTTTTATTTTTATTCTCACATAGTGAAGGATAAACCTTTTTCTCATAGAAATATAATGACAATATTTATTGGATCTACTCTGCAGCTCTTGGGAATGAACCAGAAAAATCACTCAGTTAAAATGTGATTTTCAACTATTATCTGTGCTCTGCCATTACCATGAGGCTTCTTCCAGTGAGATGTGGGCAATATGAAGTCCATTTACATATGCACCCCTTTAATTTTTTGATGTTTTTTGGCTTACGGTAGAGACCACATCCAAAGCCTACTGAAATCTGACTTCAGTAGGATTCAAATCAGATTTAAATAAAGACTGTATTTTTCTTCCATATTAAGTTAAACAGTTGCATTTGTGGGTTCTAGGAATTACTTTTGTAGCATGCTGCTTAACACCAAATAGTATGGGTGCCCTGGGTGTTGAAAGCAGTAGGAATCCCTCTTTTCCTTGACTCTTTGCAACCTCTACCTTCAGGTCCCTCTCCTATTCTGGATTTGGGCACGTAGAGATAAATAGGTACTATATTCCTCTGGGTCCCATCCAGCTTAGGCAGATGAGATTGGATTTTGATGTGGAATATAACATCCCATTTTTTGTATAGGTCATAGCTAGGTTACTGCATCCATGAAGTGGAGGAAGGCACTCTGAGGAACTGTTGTTCTCCCCTCAGGCTGGAATTATAGCTGTATTCTAGCCTGTACCATAGTCTAACCATATATGCAGTGACACGGAGTCAGCCCTGAGGATGTTTGAAATGCTGATCCATCATGAGCCATTGTAGGAGAATGGCTCTGATCTGAACATGGGCTACACAAGATTAGCTTCTGATTTTGGATTAGGGAAAGGGTTACAATGCAAATTAAATATATTTAAACTTGTGATTTATGTCAAATTACATGAAAACAGAAGAAGGATATGGTTCTGCTGATAGCTTCATGGAAAATAGTGGGTTACTATTCCCTTAGAGTAGCCTAAAAGATTTGGACATGAACTGTCCATTGAAATTGTGTCTAAATCCCCTGAATGCCTTGCAAACCCCAGCAATGTTCTCTGACCTGAGGTATCCAGAAGTGGTTAGGCTGTTCCATGTATTTTTTAGTTTCCCTAACTGATGTAAATGGATGCAGTGCAGCTTCATTATTTTTCACCAGCTGAGGTGATAGTTTCAGAATTGGTTGGAATGGAAGAGAATTAAGGGAGAATTAGAGAAATAGGCAAGAGCTGGATGGGGACGTCTGCTTACATTCTGTAAGTACTTACCCTGATTTTTCCTTTCTAATGTTTGACCAAACAGAACAAGGACAGTGTGTTTTATGTACTGGTTATCACTTGTTGTCTGGTACAGAAAAGGTTAACAAAGCTACTGCAGGAATGAAGAAACACCCCAAATATTTGTGGGCAGCTGCAATATTAGACACAGGTTGCTGCAGTTCACTGCAGGTAAACCGGTACAGCTAAGCTATTTGGGTGCTACTATTTCCTTTGAGATGATTTCATATGTTTAGTTTTAAAGCTGTGTAAACCTCACTGAAAACGGTCACAATGAGTGAGCAAACATTGAACCACCATTAGAAAATAAATTGAAATAAAATAAGATCCTTTGTGTTTTATGCTAAATGCACATTTCGAATCCGAACTTCATTCACAGGTATGTAGCTGAGTCCCTCTAGTGGCACAAACATTTATTTGGCTTCATATGTTATTAAAATTCTGTTTTACAGTCCATTATAGCAACAAATTCACAGGTAGGCTTTTCTGGGCACTCTGAGAGCTGTGGCAAAGTAAATCTTGGATTAGATGCTGTGCAAGCTCGTCTTAATGAATGTAAATTGATTTTTAAGTTGTGAGGGGCAATTATAGGTGCACTGGAAGAAGGGAATATTTGAAAGGATATTCTAGAACTAATTACTAGTGAGAAACACGCAAAGAGCAACGTAATACCCAGGGCAGCCAATAGGGATAAAAGCTTATACACAAAACTGTCATGACCTAGAAGTGAAGACTGTTTAAAAACACTGATCTCCACTTAGCTTGTAAATGCGCATCACCCTCTTTCTCACTCACATATATTCTCTCTCTCCCTGACACACACACACGCTTCTGGATTTGCAGAAGATAGACGTCTAGGGCACATTCTTGGCATCCACAGGAGAATCATATGGGATTAAAAAACCACAGCAGTAAGTACTGACTGAATTACATGTTTATTAAGTGGCATGCTGTCAAAACCCAGATTTAATAGTAAATACAGGAGGACTTTAGTGGAAATGGGTTGTATTTGATTTTCCTTAGGAACTGCTGAAAGCTGCCTCTTGAGGATTACAACTTCACCTTTTCTTTTTACGGATGCTTGTTTACTATCCATGTGGTAACCTCTGGACAGCCAGTAATCCATTCGTTATCCACAGTGATTGAGTGCAGGAGTAGTGCAGTAACTACTTCACTCGGCTGACGGCAGAAGACAAAAGGAGGGAAATGATGAATTCGGACAATTTAACCTCCCAAAGCTTCCTCTCTGCTATTCACAGCAACACCAGCAATTTATTCTCAGGGCTCCAGTTTGTTCAGTCCTTCAAGCCACTCATCATCCCCTGCTACTCGCTAGTGGTTTTTATTGGTGTCATTGGGAACTACCTTCTCATTTATGTTATCTGCAAGACAAAAAAGATGCACAATGTCACCAACTTTCTGGTAGGCAACCTGGCTTTCTCAGACATGCTCATGTGTGCCACCTGCGTGCCCCTGACGCTCGCCTATGCCTTTGAGCCCAGAGGATGGGTGTATGGGCGTTTCATGTGCTACTTTGTTTTCCTGATGCAACCCGTCACTGTGTTTGTGTCTGTCTTTACCTTGACTGTCATAGCTGTGGATAGGTATTATGCCATGGTGTACCCATTCCGCAGGAGGCTCACAATCCCTATTTGTGCTTATATCCTGGCTGCTATTTGGTTGCTGAGCTGTACCTTGGCTGCCCCAGCCTTGGTCCACACTTATCACGCAGAGTTCCCAGAACTGGACTTCTCTATCTGCGAGGAGTTTTGGTTCCACATGAAAAGAGATCGCTTAGCTTATGCCTACAGCACTCTCATCATCACCTATGTACTGCCTTTGGCTGTCATCTCCCTGTCCTACCTGAGAATCTCTGTCAAGCTCAAGAACCGTGTAGTCCCTGGCAATGTCACCCAGGGCCAAGCTGAATGGGATCGAGCAAGGAGGAGAAAGACTTTTCGCTTACTAGTCTTAGTGGTGGCAGCCTTTGGAGTCTGTTGGCTGCCTCTGCACATCTTCAACATGATAAAGGACATCGACATCAGCTTGATTGACAAGCAATATTTCAACTTCATCCAGCTGCTGTGCCACTGGTTTGCAATGATGTCTGCATGTACCAATGCCTTCCTCTATGCCTGGCTCCATGACAGCTTTAGGGGGGAGCTGAAGAAAATGTTTGCCTGGAAGAAGAAGAAGATTGGACCCACAACAAACTGCATTATGGCCAGTGTGGTGCTGTAAAAGAGAGCTGCTGGGAGTGCACTTCCTTCATATGTTAACACTGTAAGTCTTTTCCATTTCTAATTAGTCCTCATTCCTCACATTTGTCCTCAGGGCTCAATAAGAACAACACAAGTCCCATGTGTAGCTTCCCCAGTACCTCCATTCCTACTGGAGGAGAGGCAGATGTTACGTCCCAAAAATGTCTTAACTTTGACTGGAGTTAGAGGCCAAGGAGATATTAAGCACTATAAGATACTCTTACTTAAGCTACAGGGATCCTTCCTGTAAAATATCCCCTTCAAAATTAAATAGCGGATATTTAGGTTAGATATAAGGGAGAAATTCTTCACTGTGAGGATGGGGAGGCACTGGAATGGGTTGCCCAAGGAAGCTGTGGATGCTCCATCCCTGGCAGTGTTCAAGGCCAGGTTGGACAGAGCCTTGGGTGATATGGTTTAGTGGAAGAGCCCAGACCCAGGTTGGTAGGAGTTGCTCTGAGCCTCGCTCTGCCAGCTGAGTTGTGCTGGCAGCACCAGTGTGAAGTGCTCTCCCCACTGCTGAGGGTGTGCAGGATGACAGCACCAGCTCATTTGCACAGCCTCCGAGTGCCTCTGTGCAAGACAACTGGCTCATTTACATTCCTGTGGCCCTTGCTGGGATGTGCTGTGACCGCCCTGCATGGTCTCGTCCCTCAATGCTATTTCCTCCTTGCTGCTGGCTGAGTGGATGGGGTAGCAGCTTTTGCAGCAGGGCTGCTTGCCTGCCCATTATGGCCAATGGCATTGGGCAGGAATCTGTGCATTACGCTTTTTGAACCCAGCATCATCATGCAATCCCAAACCTCCTGTGTCGCATGAACCTGCAGCAGAGCATGTAGCAAGGTGAGATGCAGTATTATGACAGGGGAAATAAACCCAGAGTGATGTTATTTCTGTGAGGTGTGACTGCAATGAAGACTATGCAACAGCTGGTTTGGTGGATTTGCTGATGCTGTCATCAAGGATGGACCTAGTGGAAACATAATGTGTGATGGAAAATCAGCCAGATAAGGGGACATTAAGACATTTAACCACTGACATTGAAGTGTGGTTTTGCCATTGCCTTGTGCAACCCTAATTTGCTGTCCCTACTGCAAGTCAGCTTCATTCCCAGCCAGAGTGGATGGCACTGTAGCCTTGTCAGCGCTGAGATGCCAAGCTGGACAGAGCCTTGGGTGACATGGTTTAGTGTGAGGTGCCCCTGCCCATGGCAGGGGGGTTGGAACTGCATGATCTTAAGGTCCTTTCCAACCGAACTATTCTTTGATTCTATGATTCTATGCTTTCCACTCCTTCCTTAGGGGACTGATTTTGATGTGTGGCAATGCTGCCATCAACTTTGATCTACAGAGACAGACAGAGACTTTGATACTGTCTTCAGGAGCCCTTCTGAAAGTGTCTGTTTAGAGATGGGACAGGCTGTTGACATTGAGCTGTGTACCAGCATTATGTGATTAGTCAAAGAAAGACCAGTCAACTGGAGCAGAGTGGGAAGTGCTCTCTTCTGAAGGAATCTTTTGGGAAGAAACAATTTCCTTTGACATTTGGCTTTCAGTCAGATGAGGGAGTTAAAAGCTATAATCAACCTAATGGTTTCTAGTTTCTTCCTTTCAAAACTGAAAATATGAGATAAAAATAAGTATATGGGACAAAGTTCTGAAACAGAAAGCAGACATTATTGCTGAAGAGGTTTTTTCCAGCCTGTTTGGCCAGAATCTGGGATGGCATGAGGAACTGAGCTGAGATCAGCACAGGAAGCAGCACAACCCAGGGGCAGTTTTGGCCATGATCTGCAAGGGCGTCTCTGACCACAACTGTACATAGCCAAACTTATGTACTGTGAGGCAATGTGAACAGAAAAGAGGGGAGAGGAAAGAGAGGATGGTTTCTCCTGCTGTGAAATGGTGATATCAGTTTGCTGATCAGCATTCAGTAAGCTTAATTGGGTTAAAAAATACACAGATTGCATATGAACACACTGGGAAAAGTGTTGGGAAAACATCTGAAATCCCTTTCCACAAAATTCCTTGGGATTTCAAGCTGTTCTGCTGCTAGTAATGAGGAACTAGATATTAGAAGCTGATTACAGAGACACTGAGTCAAGGAGGTCCTTTCAAAGTGGGCATTACTTACGTTCACTCTGTGATTAAGTGTATTTATCTGCATTGCTTACCTTGATTTAAAGATTTGAATGACCTATTAAGGCACGTTTCGCTTTTGCTGAATTTTAGGAAATTGTTTTTCCTTCAGGCTCAATATAGGAAGTTACTGTAATAAATGGTGATTTTGAAAAGGAAAATAAAACCCCTTCAAACAAACCAAGCAAATTTTATGAGCTTTTCAGCTTTTGTTTCAGGACTCTTTTGAAAGCAGCAGAGTAGAACACCAAGAGAGCACTGAAACAACACTGCAAAAAGCAGCTTTAAACAATAAACTCCTGATATTCAGCGATTTTTCTTCTATGGAATTATGTTACTTTAAGCTGTTGTTTTGTCAGTTTGTAAAGGTTAATTAGCATTGAGGTGACCCATAATGTTTACAACCTCATGCACCAAATACAGACAGCACTGTAATACAGAGTGATGCAAAGCCCAGCAGAACAACTGGGAAGACTCCTGTTACCACAGCAGGCCTGGGATCATTTCCTTCTTACACATCATGTTTTTACCCACATTTGCCAGCACTGCAGTTTGTCTTATTAATGTTCTCTTGAATGTTAGTGACTGCAGATGGCTGCTGCAGAGAGCTGCACAAAGCAAACAAGGGGGATTTAACTCTATTTCTTTCCTTTTCTCCTTGAGATGGAAATGAAGGGCTGTTCAGTTCATATATTGTTCCCACAGCGATGGACACACTGGGAACATCCTGCTACCAGCAGCTCCTTGCTACCAGCAGTGCTGCCATCTCAAGCAGGTCCTCAGATTGCCCAGCACAGCAGGCACCCTCGTTTAAGTGCTAGTTTAAGCTGTACATGTCTTGAATCTGACAGGACTTGTATTTGCAGCAGAAAGCTCAAATCCTGCCCCTAGTTCTCAGAACTAGGTTTGGCAGATGCACACCGAAATGACCTGCATTCCCCAGCTGGGGGCTCCTGAAGCTCCTTCCCTCTCCTCAGCAGCCCTCCTGGCCCACCCCAGTGATCCTGCAAGGCCATTTTTCCAGGCTTTCCCTGCATGGTGCACACAAGTGATCCAGCCCTAAGCAGAGGGAGTGGGGAGCCCACAGGCTGGCAGGGACTGAGACACTCACATTTGCTCAGCTCCACCTCCAAATCGAGCCCCAGGAATCTCTGCTCAGTGTAATTACTGTTTCCTCTGATATCCAGAGTAATAAACAATGATAAGATTTAGAGGCACATTGATGCGCTTCTTTCATCCAGTTATGCAAATAATTATGTTAAAAGCCATCATGTGAAATGTGGTTGCTCATCTCCAGCCTTCTCTGGGGAACCGCTGTGGTTCTCCGGGGGGAATAGGGCTCATCACTACAGTGTTTTTGGTGGGGTGGTTTTTAATTACAATGTCAGAAATCATTGCAGGCTTTGACTTTATAAAGCAGCCTGGTTCAAAACTTGGTGGACCTGTTAACTTTCCCTGCAAGGGTTTTAGTTGTTTCTTGCTTACATTAGTATCCAAGCACTCACTCCCAAGGGAGCTGCTCTGTAGGGATGGAGCAAGATGTGTCTGAGCTGCAGAATGCCATCTGCTCCTTGTCCAGTGGGATTTCATTCCAGTTGTTTATATTTACCAAGAGACTTTTAGCAGGTAGAGACTCAGGCGTTATGCATTTTACAGCAGCAAATACAAGCTGTTTCTGATGGCTCCTCAGACTGTTCCTAAAAGACAGCCTGTGGCAAACACTCCTGGATGTACTGTGGAGTTTGTACACATGCTCTGTGGTGGTGTTTTTAGGCAGCTACTAAATGCATTAGCCAGTTAGCGGGTGATCAGAGCATGGTGAGTCTTGGTTTTGGAAACGAAAACCTGCTTAGGACCACACTTATCTGTTGTAAAAGTCATCTAGGAGATTTCACTGGGGCCAAGCTTCTACAGCTCAGAAGCCTCTGAATATCTTAAATGTGGAGATTAATAGAGATAGAGAAGGAGCTGATGTGGAGAGGCGGAGGAGAATGAGATGACTTCACTTAAAGTGAAGAGCACAGATTTAGACTGCAGGAATGAAGCCATGCTATTCTGCATAGCTCTTGGAAGGACTCATAGAGCAGCTTTCTAGCAAACACTGTATTTCCAATATTTATAGACGCAGAAATGCTTGCTCAAACATAAGCTACTCCCTATGGTTAAACAGGGGATTGGTATTAAAAGATAATTTACTCAGGAAATACAGAAAGTAAATCAGTATTGGATCAGGAATTAAACCCCAAATTAGGTAGTGAGCAAAGGTCACTAAATTTGAAATCAGGCAGCCAAAGAAAAACAATAGATAACCAAACCTCAACTGGGGTCAGGTAGAGTTGGTTTCTCCCCCACCTTGAAATGACAGAGCAGGCACTAAAGACTAACTTGTTTGTGCAATGCATTGCTTTAAATAATTTTTCCTTACACTGGGATGAAGAACACTGAGAGAGCTGTATTTGTGTCATTTTGGAAGAATGTCAGTTTATCTCAGAGGGGCAAAAGCAGATCTTGTCATAAGGCCATTACTCACAGGAGCTCAACGAGTGCTTCCCAGCTGATAGATACACTGGGAAAAGCAGGTATTTTTCCTACCAGATGAACAACAGATGCTCTGTATAGTTTTAATTGAGCGAATCTTGCTTATTGAGGTGCCAACGGTGAGTTATAATTAGATGTCTCAGATTATGCAGCGTACAGATAAAAGCTGAAAATGGTGCACCTGCAGCTGGGAAAAAACCCAGCCCAACAAATTGGACAGAACTGTACAATGCATCCATCAATCTGCCCACCGGATAAGAAGACGGCAGAGATAGATAGAAACAAAGTGCTGCTGGTAAAGAAACTGCTGTCTTTGCCACTTCTGCATGAAGAAATAGAATAAAGACTTTTACCTCCAGCCCTTTCCTCTCACTGCCCACATCTTTTCTGTTTTCTCAGGGAAAACAGTTGCATTCCTCCTCCTTCCCATGGAGAAAAGGTTGCTCAAGGGTCTAAGCGAACATTTCTGCCTCATAGGAAGTTTACAGAAATCAGGGAGGCTTTCTAAAATGGAAATCACCCTTTTCTCCCTTCAACTTCTTTCTACAGGCAGAACTATGCAATTGTGCCTGACACAGTCTCTGCACCTAACCGTTTGCTGTGCAAAGCTGCTGCAAGTGGGAGCAAACCTGGCCTGTCTGCCACTTGGAGCACTGGCGTTTGTGACTGCATGAAGTAAATATCCCTTCCCATACTCAGGGACCCCATTTTGGCTCAAAACCATCGCTAACTCTGGTTCTTTGTACCGGATTTCCCTCCACATCAACAAGAGTTTGCTCTACTGAAAGTCCCAGAGAGCCACTGCAGATGCATCAGAGGTACCCTGGCCATATTGATGGGACCTTTCCTTCCGATTCCTGTTTCAAGAGCAGGTTTTAGGTACATTCTTACCCTGTACTGATACAATCAGATGGAGCTGGCTTTCCCCAGGCTGATTTCAATCAAATTTTGTGTATGTTTCTGTGCTTCCTACTCTCCCATCCCTCCCCCAGACTTTTGGAACCATTGATTAAGTAGGCAGTAGAAGCAGCAGCCTCAAGGATGTTGATCTCTTAGCAGCTATCTGAAATCAGGAAGAACACTAGCAGGTTTTTTTGGTGCTCCCCAAGGAAGGAAAAGACATGCAAAGTGCTCTCTCCTTTAGGGACCCACCCAGGATTACACAGGGGATGCTGTAAATGGTTCAGAACTGGTTACAAGATGGCCAGGCTGCCTCCCTGCAGGGCAAAAAGTGATGGCTTAGAGGCACAAAACTCAAATATATCTCTTTGGGAGTTAGGTCCCTTTGGGAGCTAAAAGTCTACTCTCTTCACCAAGAAGCTGATAGGACTGACTTTCTTGCCTGTTGTTGCTTATTTCCCTTTTCTACAGCCTGCTTCATCAAGCTAAATTAATCAAGCTAGTAATTGATACAAATAATAAAATACACACTCAGGAGCTCCCTGCTTTGTGTCTCCAGCCTGTTGGAAATCAATTTGGGATCATTGCTATCTATTTGCAGTTGACTGGTCTCTCTGCTCTTTGTATCTTGTTTATGTTAATTGTCACCATTATGTTGTAATTTCCTTGTGTTTTGGCTTTTTTTTCCTCTGCAGGGAGCACAGAAAAGGAGATGATGGCTTTAATTCCTACATCTACATTTCCTACATTTCCATTAGGCGCTGGAGATGTTTCATCAGCAGCTAGCGGGTCTGCAACGAGAAGCTTGCTGCTTTCCAGTGTAGCAATGAGATCTGCTTCTCCTGCTGAGCACAGTTCTGGGTTTCCAGAGAACGTGTTGGAAAGGCCATATAAAGTTCAGAGCAGCAGGAGGGGCTCTAGTGCTGTGGTCTGCGAGATCCTGGTGATGCGTGTGGTGCCGAGGATCACTATTATGCAGCTCAAAATCACCCCAGCAACATCACCAACAAAGTGATGTGTTCAGCTGGAGGCAGCTGGTGATCCTGTGAGGCCTGACAGCACAAGATATCACCCTGTCTACAGTTTCCCAGCCATGGGGACCTGTGTTCAGTTACCCCATCACACCCATGACATGACAGGCCAATTCTCTAGTGAAAACATGAGAGCCAAATGACATGATAGCTGTGATGGACTGACATAGATTGCCATCAGTCACAGCTGCATTTGGGACTGGGATGGTGAAGCAATAGATTGTATTGTAAAACAAACCTGTCTGGGACTCGTGGAATCAGGGCAAGAAAGAAAACCAGAAGTAAGTAGAAGACTTGGACTTCAACCAAACAATAACCATCCAAAGGCGAAATGTATAACCCAGAGGCTGTGTTTCTGTACAAACGTGGGAGTTACTGAAGCCTTCTTGTGAGTGTGGTCCCTCACTTGCAGTGTGCCAGTTCAGTGTATTGGCTTTATCGCATCTTTCCTCCCATCTCTCATTGAGGGATGCCCATCTCATGCAGTGGGTTTGAACAGGGGCAAGCCAGGAGTATATATGGCTGTTAGTGTGAGGTCCATGTGTGCAGGGCCAGTAGTGTATGGTCCAGAGACAGATAAGTTGAGGGCTTTTTGATAGGGTTTTTTAATAAAAACAATTGAAAGGTTGGGAATGGGGTCCTGAGGCATGTGTTCAACCAACCCACCCCTCAGCAGCTCTGAGGATGCAACTCTGGGGGCAGCAAGATAAAAGTAATCCAAATTACATGTACAAGAGTTAGGTAGGAGCTACATCACTGATTAGAAATCGCTTTCTGAGTCACTGTGTACAAAGTATGTTGAATCATTAAGACGACCAAAGCTTCAACACCCAGCTTTGGAATGATTTCTCCCTCAATTATTGAATCCTTTGAAAAATTCAACATCTTTTGTTAATATGTATAACTTCAAAATGTTAAAAATAAATTTGAAACCATCTGAAGCACCAGACATAGCATATGGCAGTCCTGTTTAATCTTAACAAGTCAATAATATTATCATTGTGACTCACTTCTTCATTAAAACACGTATTCTTGTCTGTTGTATAAATCAAAGTTTATTTGTAAAAGCCTTTGTACCACCCATGCAATATACAGTTGTCACAGCTAATTGTAAATTGTTTTTGCTTGGACTGAGGGCAGACAAAATGCAGGGAGTTCAGACAACATCACCAAGAAAGTGCAGGGAAGCAGCTGGAGGCCTATGTTTTACTGTAGTGACAGAAAGATGGATTTCTTTATTTGTAATGCATTGCCAAAAGCACTGTTCCAAACACTTCTCGCCCCCAAAAGTTGTATAGAGGGTCTGGCAAGATCTGCATGCTTTCATAGTTCATAACATTCTCCTTTTAATGCTAAATGAGGAAATACGTTTCCCCATGAAACAGTTTAAAACGGCTCTACCCACCTGCAAAAGCTGCTGACTAGGGAGAGGGCGAGGGCATAAAACACAGGCCAAACTTCAGGGGTGGGGAATAAAAGCCAGACTGCTTTTATTGGCCCTGAAGTCATTAAATTATTGGCTAAAGGCAACTGTGCATTGAGAAGTTGTCTTTCAATCATTTACTGAGGAGATTTGCTTCCTCCCCTCAAGTATTTTAAGAATAGGTGCCAGGTCACTTTGAGCTTCTCATCAACCAACACTCCAAGTCCTTCTCCTCAGGACTGCTCTCAATACAGTCTCCTCCCACCCTGTATTTGTGCTTGGGATTGCCCTGACCCAGGGATAGGACCTTGCACTTGGCCTTGTTGATCTTCATGAGGCTTGCATTGTCCCACATCTCTAGGTCCCTCTGGATGGCATTCCTTCTCCTCAGTGTATCAACGGAACCACACAGCCTGGGGTCATCAGCAAACCTGGTGAAGTGGTGGAGTGGCAAAGTAACTAGCAGCCCTAGGCTACGTCTCTCTTCTATACATGTGAATTTTTTGATGGAGCAAAAAACAAACCCCAAAACCTTTTAAAGGAATGCATTAACAACAATAAAAAAGTGGTTCTTAAAATGCCTTTATTCCTGGTGATCATTTTTAGGATGGGTAGAAATTGTTATAGTGTTTGCACAGCACTGAAGAAGGTGTATGCAAGTGAAATATTTGCTAGGTTTCTAAACTATTATGGGTTTGCTGAGTGATCAGAAAATCACAGATTTGAGGGCAAGAGGAAAACGCACAGGATTTTTAGTGCTAAAAGGAATTAGCTGGACAAGCTGAATCTGCAATGCGGTGTTCGACAAACAGCCTAATTTACAGTGCTAGCTATGCTGAAAATAGTGATAATTAACCAAGCACTCTTATTTCCAGGTCTAACATGAGGTATTTGAAAACAGGGTGGAAGGTGGCTTGGCGAAGGCCAGACTGGTACAAAAATAGTCTTAAAATGGTTGGTGGAAGTGAATAAAAACTAAATGGAGAGTGTCAGAACAGCTTTCTAAATCTGAAGCTATTCATATTCAAATACTGAGACTTGAGGAGATGGATAGAGGTAACACAGAGCTACATTAAGTTTTGCAATTCACCTATTTAAAAGTAGTTGCAAAACCAGCAAGCTCTACAGATTGCTCTAAAATGGAGATATTTGACACATGGATCTGCAGTTTGATCTCACTTTTTATTGCAGAAAGTCTAAGCTCTTTGAGTCACCGTTTTGAGCAGTGACAATTGTGTCCCTATTGTCTCTTCTTAGATGGAGTCAAGAGATTTAACCAAGGTACTATGATTTTCTGCTGTAGATAACAGTTCCAAAATGAGCTGAGTTGTCTCTCCATGTGAGTTTAATTTGACATTCAAGCATTACCAGAGGATAGGAAGCAATGAATCATGTAAGTGGAAACTCTTGCTAATGCCCCACTTACAGTAGCTAAACATTTTTAAACCCAAAAGGAATGACAGAGGACAACTGGGAGCTTTGAAATACTCTGTTTTTCTTTGCCAAGCTACAGGTGTTTTCTGTGAAATTACAGCTCTTGTCACCTGGAATTTATGCCTTCTGCATTTGGTTTAGGCAGCCCCAGAGCCCTGATAATCCAAGGGAGAGCAATCAGTGCTCTTTCAGAAAACAATTGTGATGTTGTGTTCCCCTCCCCAGCCTGACCATTATTTCCCCTAATTCTGCTCAAGTGATAACCACCAGCGGTGGTGGTAATGGATGTGTCTGGGTCATCATGGCTCTATCTGACCCAAAGTGGATTCAGGGGAGACAGATAACACAACAGCCACGGGCTAATCTGAGCAAAGCGCACCACTCCAACCACAGCGCTGGTCAATGTCCCTCTCAAGCCAAGTTTGAAGAAACCCTAACTTCAGTTGCTGGCACGCAAACCCAACTATGAGTCAAATGTCATACTCCATAAATACCACACAGCCCAGGTCCAATGAGCTCTCCTGCAGGCAGCAGGCTGTATATGAGGATCTCCCCTTGAGTAGGAACACCTCTCTGGGTTACTGCTTGAGGCAGAGATATTCCTTGCTACAAGAGATTCTCCATGAGTGATTAATAGCATGCTACAAATAAAATCTTAGCTAAGTGATATAAAGGATTGATTGCAGACTCATAACCCTTTAGACATAAACTGAGCCCGAGACTAAGTTTGGATCTAGCCACATGTGGACTCCTCTCTGAGAGGAGAGTCCTTTCTGAGCCTCATGACTCAACAGCAGGGTCTCCCTGACAGGTTTTTGTGACCCTGCCCTCTGAGTGCTCCTCGCCATCAAATCCTGTTAAATCATTGTTGCATTTACTACCAAACTTTGTTACACGGCTGTTTTATATCAATAAACACATTGCTACTATACTCTTTTATGATTGAAGAGTGTCACTTCATCCACGACTGCGTTCTATCCTTGTTAGCTGATATTGCCGCTTTTAAACACTGTGGCATGCTTCAGTAACTGCTGAAACACAAGGAAGACATTACTTACAACAAAATACGGAGAGTTTAGCTATGCTAATTTCTTTTATTAATGGTTAAGAATCCAACATATATTTACTATCCACTGAATCTCAACCCTGCAGGTATATTTTATATATATAAAGTGCTAATTAACCATTTGAGAATCAAAGAGAGAACAATAGTTTCATTTAGTTCAGAATAAGCAGCAGTGTTGATAAGCTGTCACCGAAAGCTGTGTCACATCTGAAAGGCAGAGAGAAGTCTAAAAGGGACCTATAATGACTCTGACTCAGAGCACTTACGCACTGTAATGTGCCTGGTTTTAAATCCGTCTTTCTTCACCTGAAGTACATTTGGACAAGCTTTCTGAACAGAAGAGGAGTAATACAAGTTACACTTCAATGATTACATGGAGCACCACCAGCTACAGTCACACTTTGGACTGTTCCCTGGTACCTGACAAGCTTAGTCCCACCTCCATCCATACCAGCATGTCCTGGGTTCCGCAGTAGCAGTCATGTTTTTCCTTTGTGTTAACTGGTACAGTGCTGTGTTTTGACTTCCAGTTTGAGAACAGTGTTGGTGAAGCCGATGTTCTCGGTTGTTGCTAAGTGATGTTTACCCTGACCAAGGACTCTGTGAGGCTCATGCTCTGCCAGGGAGGAGGGGAGGCTGTGAGGAAGCAGAGACGGGGCGCCTGACCCGGGCTAGCCGGGGAGGTATTCCATACCACAGCACGTCATGCCCGGGGTGGGGGGTAACTGGGAGTGACCCGGAAGGACAGGGGTTTCCGGGTGGAGCTCGTTTCTCTTGGCCGGTGGTATCGTATTCTCTTCCCTTGTTATTTTCCCTTATCATTGTTGTAGCTGATAGTAGCGGTGGTGATTTGTTGCTGGACTGTTTTTGTCTCAACCCGTAGGAGTTGCACTCTCTCGATCCTCCTCCCCGTTCCTCCGGGAGCGGGGAAGGGGAGAGCCCCGGTGCGGGGAGGCAGGGGGGGGAGACGGACACGGACCTCGATTGTTGTCAGCTCGGCACCACTCACTGGGAGTGAGTGAACAAGCTACCTGACTGGGTTTAAACCACGACAGTTCTTTTTGGCGCCCAACGTGGGGCACGAAGGGTTGAGATAAGAACAGATCTGACTGGATTGATAGTCACTCGTCACAATGCTGATTTATTGGCTCTCAAGGTTGTTCCTCTTGATCTCACAGTTTCAGTATATGATATCTTACGTCCATCCGGTACTTGCTGTATTAGTGTTTTTCAAGTATGGGGCTTGGGCTAAGGTTTTTATCCCATTGTACTTTATGGTAATGACTTGTAATACAATAGAATCATTGATCATGAAATTGATCTGGCTTATGTTCCCAGTGTGGTCACCACCTTTATACTTTGGGAGGTATATGATGGAGGTGCTTAGCAATTACACATCTTTTTTCTCCTTCTCAGGTGCTCAACCTGGGAAGGAGACATCCTTTTACCCTCCTAGTCGTCCCCCCAGACCATTTACATTTGAGAGTTTTGAATTTTTTGAATGGCCTTTTAATGCTGTTGAGACTTGTTTGCTGATGGTGATGGGAATCACCATGCTAACACGCATACAGAGTGTGTTTTACCCACTACTGATTTCAAGAGTTAAGCAGATTCAGGTTTGGGTCTTGTCTGGGGTCAAACGACGATGTAGGAGGACCGAGAGATTTTCCCTGAGGCTGGACAGCCATGAGTGGCAGGGTGTGTGGGATAGTATGGGCAAGTATCTAGGTCAGTGGGCCCCTCCAGTACTTTGGAATTTCACTACTGAACAACTGCAAAATCCAGAAGAATTAGTAAAACACTTAAATGAGGTGTGTGGTCATTCTGGCCATACCAGAGATGGACAAATCATGGCAACGTGCTGGGGCTTGGCCTATGCTTACAGGGCCTTGTTCAACACTATCCAGCACCTTCAAAAGGAAAAGAATGTCGGCGGATCTGAGGGCAAAGCAACAGTCGCTACTCAAACTTTGGCTGCAATGAACAGCACAGCTGTCCCAGTGGCAAGTACAGCAGCTGCTCAAACTTCAACTGCAACAGACAGCGCGGTTACCCCAGCTCCAAGCACAGTAGCTACACCACCCCCAGTAACAAGTACAGTTGCTACTCAAACCACAGTGATAATCACTGCAGCCAAACCAGAGGACCAATTCGTACCAATATCAGTTGCCCCTGTACGCAAGAGAACAAGCA